AGGGAGCACCTAGAAGCCAAGAGGAACATTCATGGCAAATTTCAAGTTTGTAGGCTTTACAGTTCTGGAGATCTCATGATTAATGTGTATGGTTACAATTTAGCATATCATGAATACTGAAAACGATAAACACTTCAATAACACAATACAAAATAATTAAACAAAGATGGAAGCCCAGGCACTCACCAGCAAACTAAAATAAAATTCTGCAAAAAACATGCCAGAAGGGCTGCTACACGACAAAGCATGAGCCTCTTGAACAGTGTTTCTGAGCCATGGGGACTTGTGGAGATGAGGACTTCAACTCCCAGAATTCCCCAGTCAACAAAGCTGGCTGGGGAATTCTGGGAGTCGCGGTCAACACGTCCTTTAAGCTAAGCCCAGTCAGGGATGAGAAACACTGCTCTAGAACCTGACTTCCCTGCAGCAATATCCCTGGGTCACCTCTACACCTCGCAGGCATTTGTAGAAAAGAAAAGCAGTGAGTGGCTGCAATGCAGATTTTTTTTATTTTTTTTATTTTGGGGAACTATGCTGGATTGTCTCTACCCCCCTCAAAAAAACAAAACAAAAGGTAAATGGAAGATGGGTTGGTAGGACCATATTAAGACTGTCTTAAGCATACTATACACATTTAAGACTGTCCCTCAAGAATTTTGTTCTGGCCTTGTGGAGTGCTCAGAGGGCTTGAACTGGGCAGAGGCACTTAGAGAATAAGCGCATAACGGCATGCAGGAGCGTGAGGCTGATTTACTCACGCTGCAAGATATGTGCATATCAGAGGCGGGGAGAAAAATGTAGGCAACCAGCCTGAAATTCCTCACTGAAAAGGGTCATGAATCCAGTCTGCTAAAATATGGGGGGGGGATATTTAAGCTTGGGGAAAAGCTGGTATCATAGTTTAAAAGAGCTAGCAAGAGTCCCCGCATCAGTTTCATCTCTGTTGCTAATCTTTAAATTGTCCATCTGAAATATACCATCTTCCTTACGATTCCTGGCTGGCTGTTGAAGCTAGAAGTACAACTTCAGTGTTTGAAAAATTTTGAGTTTCTCTTTTCCTCTTTGTTTCTTTGACCTGCCAGAGATCTGATACGAGAATGGGATCTGCTTTGAGGTTTTCCTTTTTGGCACTTCCTCTCTGCCGCTCTGCAGTTTGGATTGACATTGTCGGATGATCCCTAAAGAGCAGCTCTTTGAAAGTGACAGAAACCGAAATGGTGGCCTGTGAGATAAGATTACGAACACAGGAGTGACTCTTGCGTTGACTGAACCACTCCTACACTGCAGGTCTTCTCTTCTGACATTTGCATTCATTGTGCTTCATAGATGATGTAATCCTTACTCAGGTCCTGCCAGTCTCGTTCATATAGCAAAGTCAGGCCTGGAAATTTCACAATTTGCCACTTCCAGTAATTCACCTTTAGGTGCCATTGGGTATTGCAGCTTTCTCCAAACTGAACTCCTTCGACCTTCAGATGTGTTTCTAGTCCATCTGGAGAGTGCACCGAAGTAGCGGTTTTCAAGAAGTCTAATATCCCGTCAGATCTTTTGTCTCTGATTTGAATCTGGCTTGTCTTTGAACGAGTCATATTCTTAACTAGTTTCCTCTTCTTGGAGCTTTCTGTGGGTATGTGGGCTCCAAATCCCAGAATTTTAAGTGACCATATTTTTCGGAGTATAAAATACACCTTTTTTCCCCCTAAAAGGGGGTGAAAATTTGGGTGCATCTTATACACCCAATGTAGCCCTTCCCACCCACTTGCCCCCACCCTTTGGCCTCTGCCTCCCAGCAATTTACCTCCTTGCAGCAAGCAGCAAGAAGAAACAGTCCATTTCAGCTTTAGCACACCCTAATTAGCACAAGTTGATTATCCCCGACTCTCAGCTGTTTCAGGCTGCAGGGATTGCCACTGCCTATTGCTGCACGGGCCTCTGCTGCTTGCTGCAAGGAGGTAAATTGCTGGGAGCAGATTTTTTTTCTTGTGCTAAGCAAGCTATGCTGAAAACGAAAATGAAAGTAAAGCAGGCTATTTGCTGTTTGCTGCAAGGAGGCCAAATTGCTGGGAGGCAGAAGCAGATTTCTTTTTCTTGTTTTCCTCACCAAAAAAGGTAGGTGCGTTTAATACTCCAGAAAATACAGGTAGGTTTTTTCCAAACTGAAGGATAGCAAAGAACTTCAATGACATTTACAACCCAGATTGGCACAGAACATTCTGGATTCTCTGCATCTTAATCACCCACTCCTACAAGTATGGTGATTCTCTGTGGACTTGAAGAACTGATTCTGGGCCTTCAAGGACTTGCCAGCCAGCCCAGAAAAGCCTCAGCGAGAGCTGCATTGCATCTTGGGGCTCCTGCCCAAATTCAAGCCAAACAATGGAATGTTCTGTTCCAAGGGCATTCAAAGCCAAGGGGATGGCACCTTGTGGCTTCATGGAGTTATTTCTTTCCATCGGCACTGCTGTTCCTTCTGGCGTGCGAGGAAGGACACCAATAACAAAGCCGATTTTCCTTTCTCTCTGCCCCGAAATAACCAGATTTACAAGAGTGTGTGCGAGAGCATAAGTAAAGAGCATTCATCTGCCTGCAGTCTGCAATGGGTACACTCTGTTCAGCCTCTCACCCAGCTGGGAAAACTCCACCTAAGAATGAAAAGGATAATAGTCTTCTGGGTGTCATCCTGTGCCCACCTTTTGACATTTTTAAAATAGTCGGCCATTTCAATAAGAGTTCTCATTTTGCCTTTGTTGAATGATGCCTCTTCTTGTTCAAACTAAATGGAAGCTCTGAAGGTCGTGCCTTCATTAACGGATTAATTAATATTGGTATGCGTAGTGATGATCTATTCATAAGCAGATTTTGGACCCAATATTGAAAAAGACAATTAGCGACTGTGGCAGGGGTGAAATGCTCCCGGTTTGGACTGGATCGCCCGATCCGGTAGCGATGGAGGCGGGTGGTTCGGAGAACCGGTAGCAAAAATCCCTGCCCACCCTCCATGCCCAGCTGAGCCGCACAATCATCAGAGGCTTTTTTTTTACTTTTAAAAGCATTTTTTCTACAACCTCTTTGGCCGAAAAAATGCTTTTAAAAGTAAAAAAAAAAAAAAGCCTCTGATGATCGTGAAGCTCAGCTGGGATCGTCAAAGGCTTTTAAAAGAATAAAACCCTTTTTTTCTTTTAAATGCCTCTGACAATCCAAACTGAGTTGCCTGATCGGCAGAGGCTTTTAAAAAAAATCTCTGCCGATCAGGCAACTCAGCTGGGATTGTCAGAGCCTTTTGAAAGCATTTTCTTCGCTGAAGAGGTTGTAGAAAAAATGGTTTTAAAAGTAAAAATAAAATAAAACTGGCCACGCCCACCCAGTCACATTACCTCCACCACCACCAAGCCACGCCCACAGAACCGGTAGTAACAAATTTTAGATTTCACCACTGGACTGTAGGTGGGTTTTTTTCCCCCTCTGCTTTCCTGTTCTTGATTCCCCCCACCCGCCTTCCTGCTTTAGAACAATATCCTGGGTAGATTGTTTTGTCCTTTTTCAACAAGATTATGAACTTGTTTCTTGGTATGAATATTTAAAGGCCAGTTTGTACCATAGTAGAAAGCTCCAGCCTCTTCCACTTATACAGTACAGGTAGTCCTCAGTTTAAGACCAAATTGAACCCAGAATGATAGCCGTATGTCATTAAGCAGGTGACCATATGACCACACCCGATTTTGCAACTTTTATTGCAGGGGTCATTAGCAATAGCACTTAGACCTATATGCCACTTCACAGTGCTTTACAGCTCTCTCTAAGCGGTTTACAGAGTCAGAATATTTCCACCAACAATCTGGATCCTCATTTTACTGACCTCGGAAGGAGGGAAGACTGAGTCAACCCTGAGCCTGGTGAGATTCAAACTGTCCAACTGATGACAGCCAGCAGCCAGCAGAAGTTAGCCTGCAGTACTGCATTCTAACCACTGCGCCACCACAGCTCATTAAGTGAATCACTGGTTGTTGATTGAATCCATTGTCCACAATGGGCATTTTTTTTTTCCAGAAACCAAAAGTAAATGCCAGTTTTCGGGTAAAAACATCATAAATTACAGCCACATAACCATGAGATGCTGCAAACAGCCATAAATTCAGGCCAGTTGCCAAGCACCAAAAATGAGATCATATGACTGGTGGAAGCAGCTATGAGAACTTCAAATCCTAGTCATTAGTGCCCCTGCAAATGTCCATCATAGCCTCTAATGTTGCTAAGCAGGGTGGATTTGACTAGTAAAAAGGCTTGATTTAAATCAACTTGATTTAAATCATAATGTTTAAAGAGCAACTGTCATCTCTGTCCCGCAGCAGCTCCTCCTCTGACCCACTCTGACCCACTCGACCCCCTGTTGACTCACCGACAGTCCCATTCAGTTTAATGGGACAGCTGGTGATGTGGCAGTGACACAACAAGGTAAGGGACGTGGCGGGCAGCAGGTGAGTGGATGCCTGCTAACAGGCGCTGCCATGATGGATCTGAAATAACAGGTGCTCTTTAGATGTAAGGACTCATTCTTGCTGGCAGTTAGAATCCTTAATATTATTATTTGGAAACAAAATGAAGGGTTCCTATTTAGCTTGCAGAGCTTGGATTCATTGAATGAGTTTACCAAAAATGTAAACATTGCAGAATATACAGCCTCATGTTACATAACTAAGTTCCATTTCATGCTAAATAAGCTGAATTATTAATGTGTCTTAAACAGAAAACTATCTTTAGATAGATTTTTATTCCAAAAGCATTTTATTAAAATAAATTTGACAAAAATAAAAAAAAATCCAATTTAAACTTTTAAAAATCCGTTTTTCTTATTTTTATTTTTTTTAAATCATCAATTTTTATCCACCCTCTTGCTAAGTGAATCGTTGTGTCGAGGACTACCTGTATCAGCTTCTTGGAAGAAAGATCATGCCCAGCAGCTCACAGCCACTCTCATGACCCTTTCCCTTGTACTTTTGCAGGTCCAAGATGGGCCTCGTGGAACATTGGTGTCTTCATTTGCATCCGCTGTGCTGGAATACACCGGAACCTGGGGGTCCATATCTCCCGGGTAAAATCTGTCAATCTGGACCAATGGACACAAGAACAGATACAGGTCAGTATAGATTTTTGTCAGCAACATAAGAAAAAAGTTAGAGGTATGGATGCAATTCTAAAATTAGTGGAATGCTCTTCTGTCCTCAAATAAACATCCTGCCATCAGACAATGCAAGTTGTAGAGAATCTAGTTATCAACTAACGTTACATGCTCATTTTCTACCTTCAGAGACTCCTCGTTCCCCATAAAACCAATCTGGAGTAATCTGTATACATATTTAGCGTTCTTCAGAAATTGTGTCCGATGTTCGGAGATTGCCCGGACAGTATATGCAGTTTTCTTGCAAGATTTTTCAGACATGGTTTTGTCGTTGTGTCTTTCCTAATCAGTGTTTCTGAACTTTGACAGTTTTAATAAGTGTGGACGTCAATTCCCAGAATTCCCTAGCCAGTGGAGTTGAAGTCCACATATCTTGAGAAAGGTTGAGAAAGACTGTTCCTGAGGCTGAGAGAAAATGCCTAGCCCAGGCTCACCCAGCTAGCTTTGTATCTAAGATGGGACTAGAATTCAGGATCTCCCATTTTCTATGCCTTAATCATTATTACATTAAAATATTTAAAAAAAAATAGCATTGTAGTCTTATATCCAGTAGTAACCCTGGGATTTAATGTAAGTTTTTGGAAAAGTTTTTATATTCTCCTCCCTAACCCCTCTCACATACCCTGAAATATTTGGCATCCCCATTTCTGATCTCATTTTCCCTCATTTCTAATGACTAAGGAAACACATTCATGGGGCTCATAAAGACCCTTTCCTTCACCAATTCCTCTAAGTTCAGAGAAGCTGATTTAGAGTAAGCTACAATCACTTCAAAATGCTATATTAGATCTGTCATTTTGTCAAATAAAATCACCATGATTGGTGAGGGAACATAACTGCTCCTTCCAGTAGAGCTAAATGCAGTTTTCTGCTGATCTGATAGAAACTGATAATGCATTTAACTACCAAGTCATCATAACCCTTGATACCTGCAGGTTGATGTCCAAACACCATTCTGTAAATATTCTGGCAAACAATAATATTAATCTCCCTTTCCCCCCCCCCTCCCTTTGATGCTTTGGTTGTTAGAGTTCAAAAATAAAAAAAAAGCTTACTTCCTGGAGTTAATTCAAACAAATGAAACAAATGCAAGCAAAGCCTAATTAATTATACAACATTACAGAGACTTTCTATTTTGTATTCCAGTGCATGCAAGAAATGGGAAACGGGAAAGCAAATCGCCTTTACGAAGGTTACCTACCAGAGAACTTCAGACGACCCCAGACAGACCAGCATCCTTTCTCTGCCTGTTGTCCCCATAGGAAGATGGAGGCCTTAGCATCACTCGAGGGAATGTGGGAAGGGGATACCTCTATATCAGTTTCTGCATGAACCCTTTTAGAGTCTACATCCTTTTCCGGAATTTTGATGAGGTTTTCCTGTTAGTGAGCATCTTCTGGAAAATCAAACCTCATAGATTAACCTTAGGAGGTGCAGCATGCAGTGCTCTCCCACTGGTCTATGCCCTCCTGGAGATTGCATATTGTTTTTTGGCAACAATATGAATGGGAACTGCTGTTGCCTTTATCTAAGATGGGGTTTTTCCCCCCACAGTTAAGTCAACACTGGGATTTGCTGGAGATAACTTTTAAAACAGTTTTGTGTGGAACAAAAAGATGGCTCTAGATCAGCGTTTTCAAACTTGGCAAGTTTGATGTGTGTGGGCTTCGGCTCCCAGAATTCCCCAGTCAGGGTGGCTGGCTGGAGAATTCTGGGAGCTGAAGTCCATACATCTTAAAGTTGCCAAGTTTGGGACTTCTGAGAGCTGAAATCCATACATCTTAATGTTGTGAAATTTGGCCACTGCTCTATATGGAGGCAGGTAACTCATAAAATCAGCATATCTATGCTGACAGGAACAATTTATCTGCCCATGGCCACAGATTGATATTGACAGTACTAATCTCCTATCCTATAATTTGTGGGTCATGCTTTGTATATTAGAAGCAAAACTACCATATTCTCTGGATTGGAGCACAACTGCAGATTTACCATTATCTGGGCTGCAAATCCACAAAAAGCGGTAGATGGCAGCAGATGCTTAAGAGTTTTCTATAACTTGTGCCGCAGTCTAATGGCAGTCCAGATTTTATATTTATCACAGCGGAAACAACTACATTCCCCCCCACCCCACCCCCTTGGCCAGTTCTAGTTAGCTTAACTACAGCCTGATGGTTGCCTCCAAAATTATTGCAGCATCTAATTTGGTAGCAAAACTATCTGCTCTTGGTTTATTCATCCTTATCCAGCTTCCTCCCAGAGCAGTGGAGAGCTTTATCAGAGAAAAATATGAAAAGAAGAAGTACATGGACAGAAGTCTCGACATCAACATGCTACGGGTTGGTTGGTTCTAAATGCATAAATGCTTTTGCTCTTTTGCTTCCAAGCCAGTATTTTGACTGGCAGGAGCTTCTTCGTAAGGTGGGATGAACAATTTTATTCTGTGAAGGATCCCATTATTTCAAGGTCGTGTGGGAGGGGAATATAGGAAATAGTGAATGGGGCAGAGCCCATAATAGGTAAAAAAAAGAATAACCATATCTCTCTGACACTCTGTTTTATCATCCTCTTCTTTGAATCTGATATCATCTTCACTTTCTTCGAAGAAGGATGATGTGGAAAAAAAAGATATGAATTGCTTACTGTACAGAGAAGAAACAAATTAGACTGAAGTAGTCAAAAAAGAGCTCTTTAGATGGACAGTTAGTCGACAGACAGTTCTACCAGGTTAATGAAAGGCCTGGCAATGCTTTTTCATGAGATTTGGCTGGTTTTAACTTTGATCACTGGTGGGAGGAAGAATTTAGCATATTGTGAAAAACCAGCCCTTTTGGTTAATTTAGGCCTTAGGGCAGTGTTTCTCAACCATAGCAACTTTTAAGATCTGTGGACTTCAGTTCCCAGAATTCTGGGAGATAAAGTCCATGCATTTTAAAATTACCAAGTTTGAGAAACGCCAGTTGAAGGTACTATGTGAACCCCCAAAATGGGTCAATCCAAATTAAAAGGATTGTGCAAACAGCACTGTTGGGAAGGAAGTGTTTTTTGCATTGAGAGTGCCATGAAGTTTAGCAGGGGAAGTTTCCCTTTGACCTAGAAAGAAAATTATTCTGATGAATTCATTTGGCTTGCCTTCTCACCGTTTTGAGTGTTTTTGTTCATAGAGAGAAAAGGATGAAAAATGGAAGAAGGAAGCAGCCACTGGGAAAAAAATGGAGCCAGTTATCTTTGAGAAAGTCAAAATGGTAAAGTGGCTATGGTTATTTCTGGCTTCTTTCTGGTGTCTTGTGGGGAGGAAGGGAGCTAGAGGTATTCAGTGAGAGATTCACCCTTGAGTTATCGACTGACCTGAGATGAGATGCACCCCGCCCCCCTGCATCCGTTTCATTTGGCAGGTGGGAAGAAATTCAGATAAATCTTATTACCGGCACTCAGCACTCGGTAGCTACTTATCTAGCAGATTTGATTTTGTGAATTACACAGTGGAACCTCACATATTGGCCACCTGCTGACTTTTGCAGAGAGAGTAGACTGGGCGATTCATTGTGTGAATGAGAGCATCAGGAGGCTAATTCTTACCCAGATGTCAGGAAGCTTCAGGGCGGGTTTGTGCAGATGCTACAAACTTTACGCCCCCTCAGTGCTAACAGTTGTCAACTGCGTGAGTTGCCAACATCCACAGAATAACCTGGGACGGTGTTTCTTAACCTTGGCAGCTTGAAGATGGGTGAACTTCAACTCCCAGATTTCCCTGGTTCCACATACCCTGGCAGGGCAATTCTGGGAAATGAAGCCCATCTATCTTCAAATCGCCAAGGTTGAGAAATGCTTATCTTCGAGAGAGAAAGCCCACCTGTCTTAGTTGGCTGGCTGAAACATTGGGATGGGCTTTAGAATAAGTTTCGAAATCCACGAGCATCTCTGGAACATTTTCTGAAGAAACAAAGATGAGAAAACTGCTCGTTTTTCTCATGGAATATGAACCAAAGGATTTTGGTGGTTTCTGCTTCCTTCAGCCTCAGAAGAAAGAGGATCCACAAACTATGAAGAGCCTCTCCAGACCCTCAGAACCAGTCATAGACCTGCTGGGACTTGGTAAGACTACTGCTGGCACGCTTCTTTCTTTTCTAAATATTTGTTGCATTGTTGCTGAAATAAATAGTAAGCAGGCCTTTTTCCATCTGGGGGAGGAGAGCTGTGAAGAGTGGAAGGCCCAAAATACTAGCTGTGATTTCACTATTTCCTGTTAAATCAGTAGTGAAATCCGATTTTTTTTTTACTACTGGTTCTGTGGGCGTGGCTTGGTGGGCGTGGCAGGGGAAAATCTGCGAAATCTCCATTCCCACCCCACTCCTGGGGCCAGCCAGAGGTGGTATCTGCCAGTTCTCCAAACTGCTCAAAATTTCCTCTACCGGTTCTCCAGAACCTGCTAGATTTCACCCCTGTGCTAAATCAGTTATTTGTGCTTCTTGAACATGGAGGTTTATCACGGAGATCATTAATAACAAATAATGGTTTGTTGCGTAGGAAGATCTTTTTTCAGTTATGGTAGATGATGCAGGGAAATGTTGAGCCTAATTTTGTTTTGGAAGGACAAGGAGGCCCAGAACTACAAGTAGTCCTCAATTTAACAACCATAATTAAACCTGGAAATAACGGTTGTAAGTTGTTGTGGTCTTTAAGCAGGTCACAACAGGTGCCCAGGTTCACGACCTTTTTTGCAATGGTCATTAAGTGAACGTGGTGTTTTATCCAGTGAGAGATTTTTGCCAGAACCAGAAGTAAACACCAGAAATTGACCCCCCCAAAAAAGTTTTAAAAAACACAGTCATATGGACGCTGCAGGTGGTCATAAACGCAAGCTAGCTGCAGAGTGTCCAAAACGCAATTATGTGACCAAGAGGGGGTGGGGCCATTGTAACTTTGAAATTGGGTCGCAAGTATCCTTTGGGTGGTCCGTTGTAACTTTGAATGGTCAGAGTCACTGGTTGTTAAGTGAGGACTACCTGTACTCCTGCCAACGTCCCAGAATGCTTTGCAGTAAGCTAGAATGCCACAGTTTCGGCCCAGTGGTTTCTTCAGTTAGTGGGTCAGGTTAATCCAAGGTTGCAGCTTAAAATGACAGGGCAGATAGATTTCCAGAAGCAGACGCGGAATCCTTTTTATAATGTCTTTTTTGCCACCAGGCCCACTGAAAATGCAGTACTGTAACATTTCCCAAAACAAAAAAACATTGCAAATAGCAGTCCCGGATTTCCTAACCTAAAGTTGCATAACGTACCCGTGGCAGAAGTTACACATAGGCTGGAAAGCTTTTCAGTTCCTCTTTCATCGGGAGGCAGCTCATTAACCGTTGCGTTTGGAGGGCTGAGCCAATCGGAATTTCCTGTGCAAAGGAAATACGGCGAAAAATTGAAGCTCAAAAGGGGAAATAGGCCACCAGAATGATTGCCATTGAAGGCCAAGTAACAGCTCAGCTGGTATGAAAAGGCCAAGGGCAAGGGATAATCTGTCCGTTATAGCTTAGGAGCTGAATTCCGCATTTAAAAACGAAAATGAGCAAATTCCACCCCAGCGTCAGGACACAGCCATGGGCATGTGATGTTAGCAATGGTGTAGCTTTCCAGGAATCTTGTCTTTCCCACCAAACCAAAAGCAGCTTGCCAGGTGTGATGGTGGCGATGGCTGCTAAGTCACACTTGTAAGATATGCTGAAATCTCAAAAACAGGAGTTGTGGCTGAATAAGAATTCAGGGGGAGAATGATACTTGACACCACTCGGTACAGCTTCTTGTCCTCCATGCCAGTAACACAAGCAAAGAAATGTAAAGCAGGAGAATAGCATAGCAATTTATACAGCTTGAAGAGAATCAATGTGATCTATTAGCAATAGAATGCATACAGCCCGCTAATGGGGGAGCTGGGGAGAAAGGCAGAACTGAAAATTGAAAAGTTGGATCTTTCTCTGCTCTCTGAATCTACCCTAGCAGCTACATGTTGATTTCCACAATATCTGGGGACCATCCAACATAGAAGGCCAAGACATCCATCCTGTGATGGAATGTGCAAGTGGAGAAAAGATTGGGGGGGGGGGGTTAGGGGAGGGAATCTTGGCAATCACACCACAGCTTCTCAGGAAGAAGGCAGCGCATTCCAGAGAGAGGCCCAAGACAACAGACTGTATATTCCTAAACTGGATGGTGGGGAGAGAAAAAGGTTCAGAGCAGCCACAGCCTAGATCAGTGGTGGCTAACCTTTTTGCCGTCGCGTGCCAAAAGTGGGAGCGTGGGGGGGGGTCATGTGTGTGTGTGCCCACACCCATACTTAAATGCACCCCGCGCATGCCCGCTTGACCCATCCCTGCAGTCTCCCCACTTTTGGCATGCAATGGCCCAGTAGGCCTGTTTTTCGCCCTCCCCAGGCTCCAGAGGCTTTCTAGGAGCCTGGAGAAGGCAAAAACAGCCTTCCCCACCACCCCCCGGAGGCCCTCTGGAGGCTGGAAACGGCCCGTTTCCTGACTTCCAGGGGGCCCAGAAGACCCAAAAATCAGCTGGCCAAGTGCGCAAACAAACTGGAGCTGAGCTAGGCTAATGCTCGCATGCCATAGGTTCACCATCACGGGCCTAGATTCTCCCAGGGTCTATCTACTTGGTTAGATTGAAGGTTACAGCTTTAATCTGGCAAGATTCCGTCTATTAGGTATAAGCAGATAAAGAATTGGACCTCACAGTGTCATCTTTGGGCTTATCAAATTTAGCCTTTGACCCTGGGTGTGGAAATTCAACTCATTGGAGGGAAGCAATTTGGGGAAGGTGATCCCTTGGGTGATCTCAAGAAGCCAGCTGATACTACCTCCCCCCTTTTCTCCCAGATGTTCCTGTTTCAACTGCCCTCCCCAATGGAAGGGCCAGCAGTTGTTTGGAGAAAGACTTGGACCTATTTGGATCCCTGGGCACTGAGAGAAAGGTGAGAAAGTTACATTAATGGTGGGAGACCTTGAGCTAGAACTTCGTTCTCATCCCAACCTATCTCACAGGAATATTCTGGGGAAAATAGGTCTAAAACTACACTTGGATGTAAGCACAGGCATGAAAAAAAAAAAAAGTAAAGAGTTCTAAATTTTAATTGAAATGTTCAGTAATGTGCAAGTCATGCTTAAACTTTCAGTCGAGATCTTCATTACACATTAGATTCAACAGCCGAGTTAACAGATAATTATGTAAAATAGTATGAAGAAGATATACTTCATTTTTGATTTAGCAAGATGTGAACCATTCATTATTTGCCAAGACTGTAGAGACTTCCCAGATAAATCTTGACTATTTTTCCTTTTTGATTCCCTGAGCCTGTGCTTATCGGTCTCTGACTGGGTTGGTTCATATTGACTTGGCTTTATCTCCCATTTGAGGGTCAGGAGACAGATACTGCCTATCTTGCGGAATCCTTCTAAGGTGGTAAATTACCGTATTTTTCAGAGTATAAGGCGCACCTTAGTTTTTTGGGGAGGAAAATAAGAAAAAAGCTGATTGGCAGGTGGATTGGACTCCCGGAATACCCCCAATCAGCTGTTCCCACAGGTGAATTTTAGCAACAGGTTCCTTGGTTGTGAGCTCCGTGCCTTGCTTTTTTTCCAGCCTCTGAAACTTCTGAAACAGCTTCAGAAAAAAAGGCTTTTTTTCTGAAGCTCTGTTTGGAGGCTTTTTTTCTGAAGCTTCTTTCAGAGGCTTTTATTCTGAAGGACTATCTGTACTCTGTTCAGTCTCCTTTCTTTGGTATTGGTATATAGATTAACCTCTTCCAATCTGTTGCTTATTGTGTCATTCTCCAGATTTGTTAGCATAGTTTGGTTAGAACCTTTACTGATTCTTCTTTTGTTGCTTGCCATATTATTTTAGAGAAAAGCCTTTCAGAGGCTTTTTTTCTGAAGCTTCTTTCAGAGGCTTCTTTCAGCCTCTGAAATCTCCGTTTGCGAGGCTAGGCGGGGCTACATTCGGAGTATAAGACGCACCCAGATTTTCATCCTCTTTTTTGGGGGGAAAAGGTGCGTCTTATACTCCAAAAAATACGGTAGGTTATGCAAGTACTTTGAAAAATGGAAAACCTGAACTGGAACCTTTAAGAAAAATGCTGCGTCAGTTCTCTGGCCTCCACCTTTGGAAATAAGTACAGTATATTCTCTCACCAGGTTGTTGGCTCAATGCCCACAGCTGGAAGTGCTGGATCTGTTCCTGAAAAGCTGAACCTGTTCCCTGAGCCTGACAGCAAGGCTGAAGAGACGGGGAAGAAGCAGCTCTCCAAGGATTCCATCCTCTCTTTATACGGCTCCCATAGCCCACAGATCCCCGCACAAGGTATGCGCCCCCACCTATCACGGGAGACACACCTGTTGGGCTTTTAATGCTCAAGATTGGGTTCATAATATGCTCACTGCTTTATAAGTTAAGACGTTGGCAACATCAAGGTGCATTATGTGGAGCAGTAGGTGAGTAGCCATTTCAGGATAGAAGATTCAGAGATCTGATTTGCACATGTGGATCTGTTCATGGAGTTTTCACAAACAGTCTCTTTGATTTTTCCAGTATGTTAGCAGTACATCAGAAAAATAACCTGGTTACTGTAGGACGCTGCCATGCAAGAATTTTGCTCTAGTTCAGGGGTCTGCAATCTTAAACACTCTAAAGAGTCACTTGGGCCCGTTTCCCACAGAAAACAAAACACTGGGAGCCACAAAACATGGGTGGGCGTGGCCAACTCGACATCACTCACTCCAACCCAGTCACATGACACCCCCCCAGCCACGCCTACCCAGGTTTTGTAGCTCCAGATATTTTCTTTTAAACAGGTCTCTCTCTCCCCCCTCTCTCATCTTTCTCCCTCTCTCTCTTTCTTTCTCCCTCTCTCTCATCTTTCTCCCTCTCTCTGTCTCATCTCTTTCTCCCCCCTCTCTCTCCCCCTCTCTCATTCTCATTCTCATCTCTCTTTCTCCCTCTCTCTTTCCCTCTTTCTCATCTCCCTTTCTCCCTCTCTCTCTTTCTCCCTCTCCCTCTATCTCATCTCTCTTTCTCCCTCTCTCTCTTTCTTTCTCCCCTCTCTTTCTTTCTCCCTCCCTCTCTTTTTCTCCCTCTCTCTCATCTTTCTCCCTCTCTCTGTCTCATCTCTTTCTCCCCTCTCATTCTCATTCTCATCTCTCTTTCTCCCTCTCTCTCTCCCTCTCCCTCTTTCTCATCTCCCTTTCTCCCTCTCTTTCTTTCTCCCTTCGTCTCTCTCATCTTTCTCCCTCCCTCTCTCATCTCTTTCTCCCCCCTCTCTCCTCTCTCCCTTTCTCTTCTCTCTCTTCTCCTTCTCTCTCGTTCTCCTTCCCTCTCTCTTTCTCCCTCTCTTTCTTTCTCCCTCTCTCATCTTTCCCCTCTCGCAGAGCAAAGTCACACATCTCCCCCAGTGGCCGAGGTGTGCACAGCACCAACAAGGGCTGGAAAAAGAGGAAATGTAGAGGGGCGCTTCGCTCCCGCTCTGGAATATGGAGCGAGTCTCTCCACCACAGTCGCCCTTCTCTTCTCAGGGCAGGTGAAGAGGGAGGGGGAGGGGCAGGGCCACCCAGTGGTGGGATCATCTGACAGGGAGCCGCAGGAGAGGGCCCAAAGGGCCACATGCGGCTCTAGAGCCGCACGTTGCCGACCCCCACTCTAGTTCAAAAGCACTCCAGACTTCTGTGATCTCATACTTAAAAGCTGAACTGATTTAACCGTGGACGTATCTGGAATTGCAGTAAAGCTTTTAAAATAAGCAAGCAAACATTGTGGACTCCAGTAGGTCCACTTCCATGGCTCGTCTTTCAAGGGTAAAATAGGTGTGATCCCTTTGCACTTCTCTGTGAATAAGGATCTGAAACTTGAGTTGAGATTAGGAGGGATTGGCTTCCTCCCAGGAAAATGTGTAACATCAGAGAGTTTTTTTAAAAAAAATGAGGGGGTGGCTGGAGTTTTCAAGTATTACCGTATTTTTCAGAATATAAGACGCACAGGAGTATAAGACGCAGATTAGTTTTTGGGGAGGGAAATAGGAGGAAAAAAATCTGCCTACCTATTAATCTGGCTAGCGTCCTTAGTCTGGTCAGCTTCAGCACATTAGTTTGCTTGTTTTTATCCCCTGCTTGGGGATAAAAAACAGCTTCTAAGGCACAGCTGAGAGGAAGCAGCAATGAGAAAAGCAGGCAAAAGGGGGGGGGATTGCTTCACTCGGATAGTGCTGAAAAAAAGCTGAAAAGGGCTGAAAAAAAGCTGCTAAAGAACAGCTGAGAGTTGGAGATCGCTTCACTCCTAGCGCCTCGTTAGGGCTGAAAAAAAGCTTTGAAAAAGCTACATTCTGATTATAAGACGCACCCAAATTTTCAGCCTCTTTTAGGGGGGGAAAGGTGCCTCTTATATTCCGAAAAATATAGTATATTTAATTTTCAATTTGCATGAGTGGGGATAAGATGAGGTTGTTACTGCAAGATCTGTAATAACTCAGAGTGGGGCAGATTTTTGCTTATTGTTCTCATCCTTGTCAAGTTGGCAGGAAGACATCCCAGATTGGCTTTTTAGGGATCAGGGAAAGTGCAGAAATATCCTCAGCTCTTAAGCGCAGATGGGAAGGTGGCTAGCATTCTGGAATAGCTCTCGGTGGTCCCAGTGCTGGGAGTGGTGGTGGGCAGTGACTGAAGACTGCCTTTCTTGCTCTCGGACCCAATGAGGTCTGTTAGAAACAGGCTGATATAATAGCAATAGCACTTAAGACTTACATACCACTTCACAGTGCTTATTACAGCCCTCTCTAAGTGGTTTACAGAGTCAGCTTATTACCCCCAACAATCTGGCTCCTCATTTTACCCACCTTGGAAAGATGGAAGGCTGAGTCAACCTTGAACCCGTCAGGCTCGAACGCCTGGCTGTAGGCAGAGTTTGCCTGCAATTAAGAGAGCTTGTATGGATGGAGGTGTGGACACAAATAAGGGACATTCTACCACATGTGGTGGACCTGTCCTAAGATTAGGAAATTTTGGGGCAAGATGAAATAGCAGGGCAGAAGATAGAAAGAAGGCCAGAATTGTTTCTCCTGGGTATTCTGGAAGGGAAAATGCAGAAAAGTATATAATATATTATATTACACATACTAATGGCAAGTAGAATTGTGATAGCACAAAATTGGAAACAATCAGACACTCCCCTTGATCAAATCATAATAAAAAAAATATACGAATGTGCAGAGATGGACAGATTATCTATGGAAATGAAGGAGAGGGAGGACACCGAGTACTATTTAATATGGAATAAGTGGTATTCCTGGCTGGAGAGTAAACATAAAACTTAAGGGATGTTTTTGTTATGAGATCGAATTGTAAATAGAAATCAAGATAATTTAAATAAAGATATAAGTTTAAGATAGAGATATTTAGAAGCAGAATTTGTGTAAAGAGGTTAAATAGGTTAGAGATACCGGTGCAGAAAAGTTATTAGTATTGAAATTTTGATATATTTGTTTTTGGTTGTTTATATTTTTTGTTTTGTGTGTGTGTGTGTTTTTCTTGCTTTTTATATATATATATATATATATATATATATATATGGTTCTGGGCTTTTTTCCTTTCTAATACCTAGCAAGCTCTAACTGCTAGGTGGGAGACCTAAATAGATCCATTTCTAGCTCGTTAGCTGTCATCAGTAGGCCACACCCATAAAGCCCAGAACCGAGTAGATGTGATTCTACTGAGCTGGAGCTACAAAAAAAAAAAAAAAACCTTGGCTACGTAGGGAAAACCTGGCTAGAAGAAAAACATATATATATATATATATTTTAAAGAGAGCTTGTATGGCAGAAGTTGACACCTTCATTTGCATCTCTCCCTTCTTAACATCCCTGCAGGAGCTGTGTTCCTAGCGCCTACCCAAATGGGCTATCCGGCCGCCTATCCCAATTTCCCAGGCATAGCACCACCTAGTGGCATGATGGCACCACCAGTGGGGGTGATGGCGCAGCCAGGAGGGGCAGCAGGCATGGCAGCACATATGGCGATCCCAACAGGTTATGTAGGCAGCATACAGACTGCAGTAATTGGGGTCCCCAATGGGATGATGGCAACGCAGCAAGCTGGGTACATGCCCGGCATGGCACCTGTCCCACCACCAGTGTACGTTGTGCAACCAGCTCACCAATTACAATGGAACCTTGCCCAGGTAAGAGCCAACGGTGAGAACTCAGGTGTGTGTCTGAGTGAGGTCCCTTTCAAACCTTGGGGGCAAGGGAAAACGTGCATTTACAGATTACAGGTAGACAATCTCAAGCCTTCCAATTCCACCTGGCTGGGCAATGAATTTGAGGATATGGAGTAGCGATATACTGAAAAAACAGCGGTATCAAGTTGCTAGTCCTAATGTACCAGTTTCTACCTCGTCCTTTTTCTCAAAGAGCTTGAACTGATAGTCACAATGAGTGAAGGTCATAAATACGGTAGATACTGAATAAACAGCAACAACCATAAAACTCTTTCCAAAAATGTTTATAAGCCACTTTGAGACTCATTTGATGAAAAGATAAAATCTTTTCTGAATTCCTATCATGTTCATATTCCCTGTGTATCAGCAGTTTTTCATGATGTAGCCCATAAGTTAACTGAAATAATGGAAGTAGAAAAACATAGTATTTTTCCATTTCCAAAATCTCCCCGTAGAGGATAATACGCAGATGGGCTTAATTTTAACATGATGCCTACAGGCACCAGTATTTCCATAGTCCTCTTCTCTGATATCCTCTAAATTCCACATCCTTAGAGCTACTTTCTTTAGTGGCAACCACAGCACATAAAACCTGCATTGCTGTTATGGCTTCTTAAGCTACCTGAATTATTTAATCAGCTGGGAAATCCATTGTTTTCTACAGTACAGCAAGTTCCTGGGTTAAGAGAAGCCCAATTTAAGGATGACCTACAATTAAGAACAGAGCCTATTGTAGCAAAATTTGAATTAAATACACAGTGATTCAAGTTCATTACACTGATTTATTTCATTAAACAATGTCACTCACACAGTATTATATAATAATACTGTTGTATATAATAATAAAAAGGGACGCAATGGCTCAGTGGCTAAGACGCTGAGCTTGTCGATCGAAAGGTATGTGAATATTACAAAGCAGCATATGAAGTCAGTGCTTCCTATAATGGACATGTGAATGATTCGGATTAATTAGGATTCATTATGTATTTTTTTCAAATCTTTTTCCACCTCAATTCTTTGTGGGAAGGGAGAATGTTTCTTCTGCACATGTCTGGCTTTCTTTCAAGTTTACCCTTTTTAAAGAAAACTTCTACATCTGTCAACATAAGCCTTGATGTTATCTTCATTTTTGAATCGTGATAGATATACCATATTTTTTGGAGTATAAGACGCACCGTAGGTTTTGGGGAAGAAAATAAGAAAAAAGCTGATTGGTGGGTGGATTGGCCTCCCGGAATATCCCCAATCAGCTGTTCCCAGAGGTGAATTTTAGCAACAGGTTCCTTGGTTGTGAGCTCTGTGCCTTGCTTTTTTTTTTCTGCCTCTGAAACTTCTGAAACTCCATTTCAGACAAAACTTTTTTTCTTGCCTCTGAAAGGCTCCGAAACAGAGCTTCAGAAAAAAAGCCTCTGAAGCTCTGTTTGGAGGCTTCTTTTCTGAAGATTCGTTTGCTTTTTTCAGCCTCTGAAACCTCCATCTGAGAAGCTGGGCAGGGCTACATTCGGAGTATAAGACACACCCAGATTTTCACCCTCTTTTTTGGGGGGAAAACGGTGCGTTTTATACTCTGAAAAATACAGTAATCAGATTCTCAGTCCTTCTAGCACCTCATGCCTTGTAGATGTGATTGGTTCGGAATGGGACTTTTTGACTCCTATCCTTGGCCATGCCTGCTTATCCGCCAGGGTTCCACCTCGGGGGATTCACCGCTAGCTTTTCTCCTTGGCTGACACGCCCCCCCCCCCCATCCATTCGACCTGGCCGATGGGCCACGGCCCCTCCGTCCCACGCGCTTCGGCATGGCCCATTCGTCAAAGCAGGGCTCGTCCTGGGCTTTTCACCCTCCGGGACAGTTAGCCGCCAACCAATTGGCTAGCTGCCAGTGCCGGCAGCCAGAAGCCACGGTGCAATTGATCGTGGGGGTGTGGGAAGGTGCTGCAGCCAAACGGTCTCGGGCGCTTGTTAGGAGAAGGAAGGGGAGGCGGTTGAAGCTCCCCTGTACCTGATCGTGCCTCCCTGATAACAAACGGGAAGGGAAGAGAGGGGGGGGCAGTAAGTACACCAGCTTCATCCAGAGGGAAGGGGGAGAGAGAGAGAAAGAAAGAAAGAGAGAGAGAGGTAGACAAGAAAAGAAGGGAAGGAAGGAAGGAAGAAGGAAGGAAGGAGAAAAAAAGAAGAAAGAAAGACAGGAAGGAAGGGAGGGGGGGAGGGGGGAAGGGAAAGTGAGTGAGATATGGATGGATGGATGGATAGAGGGAGGGAGGGAGGGAGGGAGAGAAAAAGGAGAGGAAGAAAGGACCACAAAAGAAAGAGGAAGGGGGGGGAAGGGAAGGAAAGGGAAAGTGAATGAGATATGGGTGGATGGACGGATGGATAGAGGGAGGGAGGGAGAGAAAAAGGAGAGGAAGGAAGGACCACTAACCCTGGCACTAGACACAGCTTCAGAGGATGCTTTGAAACAGCACAGCAATCCAGGGCTGGAAGGGACCTTGGAGGTCATCGAGTCCAACTCCCTGCTCTAACAGGAGACCTTATATCCTCTTGGTTATTTTGGTGCCTCTAACACAGAGGAGAAATTCCCAGAAAGGGGAAGGAGTTTACTAGGCAAGGCTGCCATGCAGAGGATGCAGAGGAATCCTCGACTTACGACAACAATTGAGCCCAAAATTTTGATTGCTAAGCAAGAGCATTGTTAAAGTGAGTTTCGACTCATCTTATTCAATCCATCCTCCAACAGTGGACGGCAATTCTTGACTTATGACCATCATGGCCAGCCTTCACCGATGTCATATGTCCATACCTAAGATGGGCACGTGGGATGGAGAGGTTGTGGCCCATTGGCCAGGGCGAATGGGTGGGAGGGGGGCGGGTCAGCCGAGGAGAAAAGCTAGAGGTGAATGCCCCGAGGTGGAACCCTGGTGGAGAAGCAGGCGTGGCCAAGGGTAGGAGCCAAAAAATCCTAGACCCAATTGGTTTCAGCTCCCATTAATCACAGCCAGCCATGTTCTTCAGCACTGCTTTTACACCTCTTGTTGGCATGGTAGTTTTCAACATTATGTAGATTAAAAAAAAAAAAAAACAAGCTGAGGTACTTTCAAGGTTCTAAAGGACCATGAATGGTCACCAGGTGGATGATCAACCCCAATACAGTGAAGGCACGAAAGGTGTCACTGAGTATAGAAAGCTAATGAAAATGTCCTCTGCAGCAGGGAAACTTGAGGTGTAAGAACTGACCTGACTCCTCCTTGCCTTCTCCTTCAGGTGACGCAGCAAATGGCAGGGATGAACTTCTGTGGCCCCAACGGAGTGATGCGCTATGGACAGTCAATGGGCAGAGGGGGTGCCCCAGAAACCAATCAAGCCCTCAGTTCCCAGGTGTGGAAATAGCACCACCCACCCACCCACCCCTGGATGTGGACCATTTTCTCGTTCATTTTTAGCTTCGGCTCCCTTGGTTTTGTTTTCCCGGTTCTGTATTAAGCATCAGTTACTCCCTGATGTTAATGTTTTCACTTCCCTTGCTGATGAGTCTCGGACAGATATTCCTCTTGCGAACGGAGATCTACTCTGCCAATTCCCCACCTCATGTTCAAAACACCGATGGAGTCTTTGCTGCCTTGGCTCACCTTCTCCATAGGCGAGCATTTTTTGTTTTCTTTTCTTTTAGGAAGGTGGACCAAAGATGGCAGACGGACGTTCTGGTAGATGTAACCATCATTTCAAAAGCCTGTTCTGGGATTGCAAAAGGAATGGTCACGATGGCTGATATGACCTTTGCATCTTTAGTTGTGGCTTCACCTCAAGGCACTTTGTATTTTAGGACTTTGCCACCAAATACTCTTCGTTTTTTATTCCGCCAACACATTCCGTGATTTCTGTGGTGTTTTCCAAAACTACTTCACGAGCTTGAAACGCATTCTCCCTGGAGAGGAGCTCCACCAGCCCTCAAGCACAAATGATGCTTCTTTTCTGAAAGTGAAGTTGGGAGGAAACATGCCCTCTTAAAAGCAGCTGCTGCTCATTTAGTCCTGGCATATTTAAATGCTTTTTTCCCCCTTTCTCCCTATTTTAACCTTTGAAAGGTCAAGCCTAGCGTTTCTCCATCTTGGCGGCTTTAAAATGTGTGACTCGACTCCCAGAATTCCAGTGCTGGCTGGAGGATTCTAGGAGTTGAAGTCCCATATCTTGAAGGTTCGGAAACACTGCATTAACGGATAAAAGGTCCAGAGCACTGGCAAGTTTTCGTTTGGATTTGTTTTCCCCCTGTGTAACTCTCACAAGCGCTCCACTTGCCCGCATGATGACTTTTATCGGAGGGAGAAAAACAAAACTTTCAGAGATGGGGCCAATCTCCCGTCTCAAGTCATTTCACAAAGACAGTGATCGCCCAATCCACAATTTTGAAAGATTTTGTAGCACAAATAAAAGCCCAGGCACCTACTTTATCTTGTGTATATGTAAATTCGTTAATAAAATGCTGCAGTGAAACTCTTAATCTTCGTCCTCATTTTTAAATGCTCATGTTAAAACAAATGGAGATACCACCTTTTTTTCCTCAAATGTATTGAAAGGCTCATAGTGAATGTCATTAGGTTTTAACTTATTGCCACGGGACTAATCTAGTCTCTGCCTGCTGAATAAAATTTAGGAGTTGTAGGATTGAAAGCAGGGGTGAAATGCTCCCGGTTTAGTCTGGTTCGCCTGAACGGTAGTAAAAAAAGGCTACTGGTTCACCGAACCGGTAGTAAAAAATGTTTAAAAAAAGAGTTCTGACGATCAGCTGAGCGACACGCGATTGTCGGAATTTTTTTTTTTTTACTTTTTTAGCATTTTTTTACTACCAGTTCTCCGGAATCGATAGTTAAAAATGCTTTAAAAAGTTAATAAAAAAAAAAAGTTCCGATGATGGGGCGTCGCTCAGCTGATCATTGGAACTTTTTTTTTACTTTTTAGGCATTTTTTTTACTTTTAAATGCTTTTAAAAACTTTTAAATGCTTTTAAAAAGTTAAAAAAGAGGCTCTGACGATCACAACTGTGGCGCGTGATCATCAGAGCCTTTTTTTACCTTTTAAAAGCATTTTTTTACAACCTATTCGCCCAAATAAGTTGTAAAAAATGCTTTAAAAAAAAGTTGGCCACGCCCACCCAGTCACATTAACCCCCACCAAGCCACACCCACAGGACCGATATTAACAAATTTTACATTTCACCACTGATTCAAAGACATGGTACTAAGCAGGGTGGATTTGATTTAAATCGAGTTGATTTAAATCACAATTTAAATCGTGATTTAAATCACTAGTAAAAAGGCTTGATTTAAATCAACTCGATTTAAATCATAATTTTTAAAGAGCAGCTGTCATCTCTGCTACTCCTTTGACCCGCTGTTGACTCACCGATAGTCCCAGTGTTGCAGAATATACAGCCTCATGCTACATAACTGAGCTCCATTTCATGCTGAATAAACTAAATTATTTATGTATCTTAAATAGAAAACTATCTTACGATAGATTTTTACCCCAAAAGTTTTTTATTAAAATAAATTCGATAAAAATTAAAAAAAATCCAATTTAAATCAAAAAAATCCAATTTAAATCAAAAAAATCTGTTTTTTTTCGATTTTTTAAAAAAATCATTGATTTTTATCCACCCTGGTACTAAGTGATCTATCTCCACTACTCTATGCTAGTAAATCCCTGTGTTGCTATGCAAAAACGGCATTCAGCTCTGGGCAGCATCATATGAGGAAGAGACATGAGGTCTCTCAGTAATAAACTGGCATGATCTTCCACGACCATCGTGTCTCTTGGGTTAAACTGATAATAATTTATTGAACTTGCATGTCGCCCATCGCTCTACAATTGTACAAAAATAAGAAAATCCCAGAATGAGTTATAAAGATTATAGAGGCAGGTTAAACACATGCATTTGTCTTGTTGAAAATTGCAAGACTGAAATGGTAAAAGAAAGAGGAATTTGTTCCTATGATAAAGGTTTGCAATGCTACTTCATCATTTATATGCCTGATGCATTATCTCTTCTCATAGTTTCCCAGGTTTTATTTCAGGTAAGCTAAGTTTAGAAAAAACATGTTTACATTAGTCTTGCATTCTGATTATATATTTTCCAGTTCATATCTGACCGGTATGCCTAAATACCGTTTTTCTCCTGAAAACACCACTTACCCATCTCCTGCATTATTGTATTTACTCAATACAATTATTATTATTTTTTGCAATTCCAAGTTCATCCTTTCCTTTGAACGCTTGCGTTCCAAATACTGATCAATACTACTATATGCTTTCTTTTGCAATTTTATAGAAAATTCTTCTATTATGTCATCTTCCATTGCATAACCTTGTGCATGTTTCCTGGATATCCACTCCTTTTAATAGACACAATCCTGTTTATTTAGCTACAGTTGAGCACATACTGGGTAATATCCTTTTTGAGTATGATTGCCACTCCATTTCTTTCAAAAACGGCAAAGTGACCGTGTACATTTATTCACTAAGAGATCCCAGTGTCAGGGTTCATTTCATTTCCACCATGTCAATTTCAGCTTTGCCCCCCACTGATGCTTCTCACACCCCTCTTCCAAGTGCAAAACAAGGAACTTCTCAGGAATGGCACCATTAGCGATCAGACTTTGCTGCAGCTTTAAGCTGGACATGTCATCCCAGTCTGCTCTACTTATCAAAGTATGTGATATTCTTCCATAGTAACGAGTACCTTTTGAACTGGGGGTTTCACAAATAGTTTAAATGTTTGACATAGCCATACAGGTTTCTTAGCAAAAAGGAAGTGGTCTTGCAGTGCTTTCTGGATTTCATTTTGCAGTTCCTTCTAAGCGAGTTGGTTTCCCCTCATGCCTACATAACCCAACCTGCCTCCATTCCCTTTGATCTTATCAGCAAAGAGGACATACCAAGAATATATGCAACAGCAATATTCTCAGGATCATTTTTCCCAATATACTTAGGTGACACCCTCTCCCCTTCCATTGTTCAAGTTGCCAGTTGGCTTTTAGAGGTGATTCAAGGTGCTGATTGTCAATTTTAAGGGGGACGCAGTGGCTCAGTGGCTAAGACGCTGAGCTTGTCGATCGAAAGGTTGGCAGTTCAGAGGTTCAAATCCCTAGTGCCGCGTAACGGGGTGAGCTCCCGTGACTTGTCCCAGCTTCTGCCAACCTAGCAGTTCGAAAGCACGTTAAAAATGCAAGTAGAAAAATAGGGACCACCTTTGGTGGGAAGGGAACAGCATTCCGTGCACCTTTGGTGTTTAGTCATGCCAGCCAGATGACCACGGAGACGTCTTCAGACAGCGCTGGCTCTTTGGCTTTGAAACGGAGATTAGCACCACCCCCTAGAGTCGTGAACGACTTGCACATATGTGCGAGGGGAACCTTTATCTTTTTATGCATCTAGGCCTGGTTACTTGAGGCCCTGCCTTTTGTATTTATCTGCCCAACCAGGTCAAATTAGGACCAATCCCCTGCAGATCCTGTCTCTTTGAGATTGCCAACTGATGAGGCTTTCAGAAGCAGATGCCTCTACTTTTTGGAACTCTTTACCAAGAGGAGACATTTGGTCTGCTTCATCCTTCTTGAAATAGAGAGAAATGGTGAACTGAAGGTGAGGTTCATGGTGCATGGAATTTCTATGGTTGGTGTTTAATCCTTCTTTATTATAACAATTTTTTAATATGTATTTTGAGTCTTGGGTATGTTGACACTGTTAGGCAACCAGAGTCTCTGGGAGTGGGTGGCATGCAGGGACAGGAAAATTAAGTGAGCATACACATACATACATACATACATACATACATACATACATACATACACACACATACATACCAGCCACAGCAATAGTCCCACAGGACTACTTTAAAAGTAGTCTTATTCACCTAACCCAGGGTTTCTCAATCTGATCCACCTTAAGATGTGTGGACTTCAACTCCCAGTCTTCCCCAGCTAGCATGCGCGACTGGGGAATGCTGAGAGTTGAAGTCCACACATTTTAACGTGGATCAGGTTGAAAATCACCAATGTAACCCAAAGTAATCAGCTCCCTGTGCCAAATGCAGCTTTGTGAGAAACACAGCTATCGCTGAAAATTAAGTTAAAATTTCTGAGTCTTGCAGCTGCGGCAAATCCATAGTCAAGATCTCTTGATATTCAACAAGATCTTCAACAAGCTGCTAAATATACTTTTAGTGGTTAGAGGAGGAACTTGAGTGTCCTGGATAATAAATCATTCTCCTCCCTGTGTTCAGAGGAATGATGCAAACAAGATACACTCATATCAAAATCAAGTACACACACACACACAACAGAAATTTAGCTATAGTACACTTATATGTTGTTTATGTGTGCATGAAACACCACTGGTTAAAAACCGGTGACAGTAACACATATCTGAAAACAATCAAAACAGTTTTCAAAACTGGCTTTAATTATCTTTACTTGCTGTCCAAATACTGTACATGCAGTTAACAAGCCAAATGGAGTAACATTAGCTTTTTTCTTTTTCTTTTTTTTTTTTTGAAAATCCATCTCGTCTCCTTTGGAAAGAGGGGAAAAAAATCTTGTCAAGAATAATTTACAAAATTGAGCGTGCACCCTCAAAGCTGTCAGTCCTGCTGCATATATAAATCCACAGAAAAATACAAGAGTTTTACATTTAGGAAAGACCACATCACATAGAAAACATTACAGAGCATGGGTATAAAATTGTGTGTGTGTGTGTGTGTGTGTGTGTGTGTGTGTGTGTGTGTTGGTCCATTAGTAACTCTTCTCTCCACTGCCCATTGCAAGACATCCCCTTGTGCTCAATGTGACTGGAGGTTTTGAAATTCTTTTTCTGATCCCCATTCATATTTAAATCTGCTATTTAAGACCAAGGTCATGCTATAAACCTGGGAGCCAAGTAAGAAAGCAGTCTAATGAAATAATTGGTTGGCTTGGATAACCTTGATTTAATCCTTTAAACAAAACCCTAATTTAGAAACCTTAGCTATGCTTTGATCAAGTTTACCACGCACCCAATTACTGTTTTGCAATGATTCCTTTATTTCTAGGATTACTTCACCCGTTGCCATATTCTTCTGTGGAGCCCTGGTGGACTCTGAACTTGGTTGCTTTCTTGTAGACGTTCCATTATCTTACTAGGTAGCATCTTCAGTGAACAACACTGAAGATGTTACCTAGTTAGATAAATTAAATATCTGCAAGAAAACAACTAAATTCAGAAACTCACCAAGGACTCCACAGTTCAACCTTGATCTACAAATATGTTGATATTCCTCAGCATGACAAGATCCCTGGTTACTCTGTTCACAGAGAGGAACACAGAGATTATTAGTTTAGTTACAAGTTGCTTCTAAATAAAATTGGGTCAGATGGGTAACATGCTTAGGCCCCCACCCATCCCCATTACTAGAAAAAGCCTTGAAGATAACTTAGCAAGTAAAGCTACTTCAAGGATCTAGAATGGGGCCATCTACCTTGCCTGCCACTTTCTCAAACTCAGCTCAAGAATGCTGGTTTTAATCCAAGAAGCCATAATGAATAGTGTCTTTGCTATGTGGGGAAATCTCCTTTTATATGACTGACCACCAAGACTGTCTGTGGAGATTCTCAATCATCCAGATCAGGGGTCTCCAACCTTGGCAACTTTAAGACTTGTGGACTTCAACTCCCAGAATTCCTCAGCCAGCAAAGCTGGGACTTGAAGTCCACAAGTCTTAAAGTTACCAAGGTTGGAGACCCCTGATCCAGATCATCTTTGGGATGATCAGCCAGATTTTAAGTCTTGCTAACAAAAACCAGAGAAGCCCCCATAACTTTTTAAAATCTTGTATTAAACTTAAATCTTGCCATACTACATACATGGTTTCTTTTTCACGATCCTTTTAGAAGCTATTTGTACAATGGTTTCAAGGAGTTCTACGGATTCCATTTTTTCCCCCAAGCTTGTCCTTTCATTGATGTTACTTAACTGATATTTTCAAAACTACTGTATGGTCTAATTTGTATTCTGTATCGTTTGAGGCTTTCTGTTCTGAACGGCTGCTCTAAAGATGTATTTTCAATATGTAAATGAATCATAGCTGAAGTCTTCGATTCCTCCTGTCAGGTAGACCTTTTTCAAACAGGACAATGAATTTAGGCTTCCAGGTCAAGTTTAAATTACTTCTACTGCATATTGATATTTTCATTTTATTCTATAAAGCTTTTGATAAAGCTTGCTGCCTTATCAACCGTGTTTTTAGGAGAAGGGCTAGATATAAATGACCCCAATAAATAAATACAAATAACATCTTAAGCTCCTACTAAGAGTTCCGTTCCAGAATGGCTCCAGGCCAAACAAAATTTAGAGGTAGCATTGCCTCCAGTTTCTAATGACCGTCTCCTGGGGATTAATTTCACAATGTCACAGTGAACAATAAGTTCAATATTCTTTTTCGGGGAAAGGAGGGCATTGGAAGAACTAATTGGTGGGGAGAAGAAAGCTATCCATCGTTCACATGAAAACATATAAGCCCTTATATTTTAAAAGGAAAACACCAACAAGGCCACCAACATCAAAAGTGCTACGATCCAGAGGGGTTTGCTCTCCAGTGAGCCAGATACGTCCAACTCAAGGCTGCCTATTGCACCCACACTCCACGTGAGAAGTTCTCTGGCATCAGAAGAACATTGCTTTAACATCTTTACCACAATTACAAATAACAGATCCTTCATACCAGCAGTAACTGGAATGGTTAGTCTAATCTTCCCCAAACTTATCTTATCCCATTGGTGTCTTAGGACTGGAATTCCAAATCAGCACGATTGACAGAATCTCAGCACATCCCAAGAACCTCAAACAGAGGCAAGGTTGTCCAGTGAGACAAACATCCTACTCTCTCCGCCTAACTACTGTGTTTCCCCAAAAATAAGACCCTGTCTTATATTATTTTGAACCCTGAAATAAGTGCTTGGCCTTATTGCCATGCACTCAAAAGCCCGATTGGGCTTATTATCAGGGGATGCCTTATTTTGAGGGAAACGGGGTAGTGACATAAAATCAGTACCATCTCCACACACATCTCTTTTCTCAGTCATCATCTCCAAAGGTTTTTTTTTATTTAAAATATACTATTTTTTTTTTACCCTTTAAAAGCTACAGAACAGGCAACTGATCCTGTAGTGGGGGGGGGGTGTCCCAGTTTCCACTAACAACAACTGATTTCAGGTGAGGGACATTCAAAAGCTCAGCCCAGGATCCCTTTCTCTATTGCATTTTAATCATCTTGTATTCTCATTTTAATCCCACATTTTTGAAGAGTGCAACAGTATTGTGTCCCCTGAGAACAGTAGTCCTCAAAATACCTTTTGTAACTATGCATGCTTTTCCTGAATCCTGGTGCAAGGGCAATCACATGAGTTGTGTAAGCTCTGTAGCCCTTCCACTTTGAAATGTAACTTTGGTAGGAAGGCATCAGAACAGCCAGATTAATGCAACATCCAGTCATGATTGTACAGAATGGGAAAGATTCTCATAAAAATCGATCCAACTTAATTGTTTGAACATCTGGAAGTCAATAAGCTGTTCTGCTATTATATTCTCTTCATACTGTGTCCTTAAGAGTCTAACGCTGTTTTTGCTATGATTTTGTTTTATTTCTGCTTTGAATTTTCGAAGCAACTTTGGATTTTGGTTTTTAAGGTGAGATATGCATTATTAAAATAAATACCCAATACTGGAGAAGCTCTCCCGCATAATTCCTTTGCACGCTGAAGGAGAAGGCACAAAGAAAAGAGATGTGCTAATAGAGTCCTACCATCCCTGTCCCTTACCATCTCTTGCTGCTTCTACTAACTAGACTAACAGACAAAACAAATCACAACATATTAGTTATAAAATCATGAGGTATACAACCAACAATTTGCACTTCACTCGGGCAGCTTGTCTTGCACCCTTAAATTACCATTCCAGTAGAAATAGTTTGGTAAAAAGAATTTTAGCCATCGTTCCCATCTTCATATACTTCAGTTCATGGACTGTGCAGAAAAACGATCGATTAGTTCATTCTTTAACTCTGCTTAATGTGAAGCCTCGGGTTGCATGAGTCAAGATTTCTGCAGAGTCGGATTACCTGGAGGGAGGTGCTGCTTTAAGGATATGAGCTGCTCCTTTTCAGTCTCGTCTTTACTGAAGATGTTCGTGGGATCTCTCCAACCGGCAGATGGCAGTATTGAATCTATCGTGCATCTCCATTGTAAATTGGATCAAATTGTTTTTTGTACTGGAAAAAGTCCAGAGGCATTTTTTTTTCCTGTAAAGCTGAGCTGTTTCTTTAATCTTTCAACAAATTCTATATGGATCCCAATATTGCTTAGCTCATTTCTCTATTTTAGCTGGCAGTTTATTATTGTTAACTCTTATTCTGCACTGAATTAATGTGGATTAAAATTCAAAGTGTACAATTCACCAAAATTTTTGTTCATTTGGATCAGGTTCCATCCATTCAATAATTCTGGTAAATTGTGCTCCAAGGCAAACCTTTAATGGAAACAAGACCTGTTTTCTAAACTTTCCTGCCCTTTCTTGACAATAATGTATGTGAAACAGCCGCTTTGATAAAATGAAAGGTTTGTTGGGGCTTGGCAAATTTACATATGCCATTTTGAATTCCACGAGGGACAAAAAATGGGATATAAATATGCCAGGTAAATAAAACAAGATTTCAGTGATTCCTGTCAGATAAAACAGGAAACAAGGAAGCAATATTAGAGGACAAAAAACAGCATCATCTGGAAATGGGGCAATGTCAGTGGTCCACTTCAAAATGCAGATTGTGAAATATAAATGTCCAAATTGGATATATCCAATTTGAAGCCAATATAATGATCTTGGGGTATAATTATTTTTTCCCCTATTTTTGAAAAAAAAAAAAGCTAACATTTTAACAGGAAATGTTTTACATTTTATCATTGGGGTTTTTTATTTATTTATTTTGTGCAGAGAATTCATTTTTTTAAAAAATGGAGATCACAGCCCAAATAGAAAAACCAAGATCCAGAGAACTCTTAGCACATTGCAAGGCATTTCTGATTCCTCACTGGGACTTTTGCTCTCATCAAATCCTCTGAGTGAGAGATACCATCAGCTCTGGCACAAAAGAGAGGATGGATGCTTATGAAATAAAAACCCAAAGCTCCTTTAATGGCCTGGAATTAGTTGCTTTTTTTTTTGGTTCCCATGAAATGCATTTTAGTTTTTGGAAGCGGTTTTTAGACATGGAACTCTATTTGAAGCCTCATCATCTTTCTAATGTAAGTTCCTGGCTGTGATAATAGTTTGTTGTTGTTGTTTTTGTTTTTAAATAAAATAAAATACTTTTATCAAACTGATTATGGGCTGGTCGACAAATCCAAAACTTTCTATTGAGATGGAAGTGGACTAATTCCCTATTGCATCGAGATTTGTAGTTCTTATGTTGGGACATACATCTCATACCTCTTTTCTTCCAGTGCTGAATTTATAAAAGCAGATGAAATGTCTTAGCCAGTCCAATTGTACTTTCAATATCTGCCTGACTGCAATAACAAGCATGCTATTCTTAGGATCACATCGTATCACTCTTGTCTGAACCATTATAAAAATACTGAAGCTGTTTAGAAATCTCTAGTACCTTAACTTCACTATATGGGAACAGAATTAATTTGATTTCTATTTACCTGCTATCTTGTTCCAGTCTTTCAGACGGATGGTGCCTTTTCTAAACTAGGTGAGATGTCTCCAGTTGTGGCAGTGTCTGATCCTTGTTCTTTTACACCATGGGCATTATTATACAGACCTTTCCATGGATAAATAAGGCATCCTCTTGCTTATCTGCCACCAAAAGATGCCAGGTGTATTCCTATAACTAGTGTTACTTGCTAAGCAAGCCGGGGCACTGTTCAGTGTAGACCACAGCTTGAAGCTGGCAATGAAATATTTTCCAGGAGCTGCTTAGCTAAGATGAAACACAATTCAAGATCTTACAAGCACAGACCGTTTTGAGGGTCAGCAATCAAGACACTGGAAAAGACAAAACAAGTCCAGGTGATCAAGCCAAAGAGATGATACAAGCAGATATCCAGAGTGGTCTAAGGTCGAGGTAGGAAAGTTCAGAGACCCCAGAATCTGGGTTCATGGCAAGCTTGAGGGCTGTAGAGCAATTGTCTGGAGCACTGGGGATTGCTCAAATGATGCTTCTATGCTTTAGAGAAGACGGTATCTATACTGGCAGAGTTGCCAACTATCTAGGGAAATGTGCAAGGATCCTTGGATAAGCAAAAACTTCAGTCTCAAGAATGTGGTTGGTCTTTGAAGGACTCTTCTTGGTTTTAGGAACCGGAAGAAGAGTGGACTCATGCAGTTCATTGACAGTAGCTGCTCTTTCTGTGGCAGGACTTCTTGGACCAGGGCCAGCTTCTACTGACGGTTGTACTTTCTTCAGGCACTTCATGGACTCATTTTCTGCCGGTTTTTCAAAGGAGAGCCCCTTCAGGAGAAGCTTGTCATCGGTTGCACAAAATCTTTACTGCCTTCCTTGCTTATATTTTAAATCATTGTTGTGCTAAGCAGTATCCTTTAGAAGAACTGTCACCATAGCTCCTCAAATCTCAGAGCCATCATTTGAGGGAGGCACAGTCCTGCTATTCGCTCAAAATCGTATCTGAGAGGGCAAATTGTGCTGACTCAACGAGACAAACCATCACAAGGTTTTCGTAATCCATATTTTTCTACTTTGAAGCAGACCTCGGTTTTCTGTAAAACAGACAACCGAGCGATTGACCACATTTTTTGCCCTTAGAGGCAAACTTTGAGTTAGTCCTGCTTTGCATTTTTTGAAACAAACAAAAAAAAAATCTTTTGTGAACTGCATTTATTCGAACTCAGATTTAGGATGCAGTGAAACCAGGTTGTAAGGGAGAAAATTAAATGCTGTCAGTTTTATTTCCCCTTCATTTTCTTTTCGAGAACTTCCCTTGTGTTTCATCCTAGCTGTAGTTACAGAAGAACCCATGCTTATTCTACTTATGTAATATGCCTAAGAAGTAAAACAGTTTCTTGGCCTTCGGTTAAAATCGAGTGTGGATCGCTAAAGTGAGTTCTTTGCCAACCGTAGCATTTCAATTTAAGAGCCACTTCCAAGGCTTAGTATTCAGAAACTAACAAGTAGCTTTCAAGGCTGCTGCCGCTTCGACACTCAATCCGCCAGCTTTTACTGTCCCTATAGTCCATGGAAAATTTTAAAAAATAGCAGGAACAATAAAGAAATTGTGATTTTTCAGTAGTATCTCCCCTGAGTATTTGCAACAAATTTTAGTAGGCACCTTCATGAAAAACTTCTGTAATTCTCAATTTTGCTACGGGAACCGGTCATCACAGAGAGACCAGATTGCTACATAAAACACATATTCAAACAACTAACAATCCAGCCCATGCAGGTTTACACAGAAGCAAATTCCATCAAATGTTCGCTTTTTTTTTTTTAACAAATTAGTTGGTTTACAATTGCAGCCAGATTGGATTAAACTGAAAACAGTTAATAAATGGAGAGACTCCGTACTCATCCTTTTGAGAAATCCAGGTGCTCTCCTATGATCTTTTGAAGGGCTTCCATGTTGGCCCAGTACATATCATCTTGTTATGTTTCATCTTCTGTTTGAACATTGGTTGGTTTGGTATCTTGCCTTTCGGGCTGCAAATCGGTCCAGACACAATGAGGACAAAACTGAACAAAAGGGCCCATTTCAGTAAGAGTGTCCTTTGCATATGCCTTGCTAAAGTAGCATCAAAGATCCAGTATCTAAAGCAGGAGTGTCTGAAGGAGGAGACACAATTAAATTTCTCTAAGCATGACAAAGCAAAACATGAGTCTTAGTATTCTTTGAACTTAACAGTCAAATGCACCCTTTGGAGACCTCTCTTCTTCCGCACCTTTGGCAGATCCTCCTAATCTTCTCCAGATATGCAATGCAAACAAAATTGCCTTCTCCAGGATTCCAAACCCAAGATTTAAGCAGGAAGTGAAATGCTGACGGCTCCTGCCAGGTGGGAAGGTGGCCATACTGTACAAATATTGCAGAGGAATCCGTAAGCACGTGGCAAGCTACATAAGGTCTGAAAATGCTACATTCCTTAAAAAAAAAATGTTAGCAGTGCCGCATTCCACTTTTTCCCCCTTCTTTTGTTTTGTTCTTTTTAAGAAACACTAGGAGAACAAGCCAAAACTTCTCCTCCAGAGTTACCAAAAGAAAACAGGACTGAGAAAGAAAGAAACCCTAACATGCTCTCTTGAAGTGGGTTTAAACGGTTTAGATGCTGTCTAAGATGATTCAAAAACATGAGAAACGGTTTACTCGTTTTCACAGGCCATTTTCTTTGGGGTGATGTAACAGTCTTGAAACTGGCAGTTTTTTTATTGGGGAGTTGTTGTCATCGTTGTTTTTTCCCCTTAATACGTGTTTCTTTTCTTTCCCTTTCAATTCCTCCTCCATCACCTTCTGGATTTCTTCTACTTTGTCCACCCAGAGAGGGAGGGTCAGACATGTTTTAAAGTCACGGGAACAGTTTTCTCTTCTTGGAGGAGGAGGAGGAGGAGGAGGAGAAGGAAGGGTGATGGAAGGAAAAGACATGGAATATTTACAAACCATGCTACCGGAAGCCGTGGTAGTACAAGGCATTCTCTGTTGTTGAGTGTTGTCTTCTTTAAGGACAAGAAGGGCTTATTGAGCTCTCTAGCGACGACTGAGAAAGGCGACGAGTAAGGGGTCCAATGGTGGAGTCTGCCAATGAGGAAGTGGGAAAGAGCTTATACCAACCTGTCACTACACTGGACAGGTCCAGCTCATCTAGGACAATCTGAGCCATCCCCATGAAGCACTTGTGGTCCATGCGGCCATAATCTCCCCAGACAATCACCTAAAGGGGAAAAGGAGGACGAGCTGAATTACCAAGAGAATCCAAGAAAGGAGAATCAGGTAGAAAGCAGGAGGCCTTTACCAACACCCCATAATTAATCCTGGTTCTTCGTACTATTATAAATCATTAACAGCCTAGTCCTACTTATGTTGACTCTAGTCTAAATTAATCTTTCTTTGGGTTCCAGAACTTATTCTTAGATAAGATAGGAGTGCTCTATTTTGCATCTCAAAGATACTCCTTTAAACTGATTAGCATAAACGTTGCAGCCTTTAAAAAGTGAGTTTTGCATTCTGTCAATCATTTACTATCCTGGAGATGGGAAAATAGATGCTCTTGGTTAACTGATGTGGATCCCAGTTTATACATTAGGAGATATTAAAATGCCTTTTGACTGATAGTCCTAGGGGCTATTTAAAAATATCCAATGGTTTGAAAATACCCTGACGTGCTTCTTCCATTTAGTTAAAGATTTGTATCAATGCATCCACATAACCTCAACAAAGTACAGTTAGTTGTAACATTTTCCCCCTTAGCATCAGTTTTTAGTCAGCGTACAAAACCGGAAGGATCCTTTCAATTGGTAAATTGAGAAGCACTCTGGTTCTGGTACCCTTTCAATATTATCTTACAACTACCCAACAGTGGGAGTTATTGGGAATCTGCCCTTTGCTCTCCTCTGAAATCTAGAATCAGATCTATAATTCTTGACTTTCCCTAACTGAGTGATAAAGATCCTGAAAAGGAGGAGATGGAAAGGAAGTATATCATAAATTGCTCTTTCAACTAAAAATGAGTCAATAATTTTTAACTCCCATGCCTTTAACAACTCATCATTTGTGGAAATTTGCCTTTTCTCTTTTATTTATTTAATAATCAAATTTGCACAGCCACTCATCTCACATAAAGTGACTCTGGGCACCATACAACCAACCCTATGAAATCCCATTGCTCAAAATAAAAATCTTGCTTACACCAAGATCTCAATTAAGATTTCAGGGAAATATTTTCCTGAATCTCCATCAAACTACTATTTCCTTCTTCAGTATTGTGGAACCTGTGTTTTTCCATGTTTAGCACTTTCTGGAAGATTTCCTTAAGCAATATCTGAAAGGCCATTTGTTCACTTTTTAACTCCTGAATTGAACTTTGAACTCAGCATCTTTCTGAAGCTGAACAGCTCCATTTTTATCTAAATTGGGACTTCACAGAAAACTAGATTTTAAAGTCAATAGTTGAGGCAATTCATGATAACCCTCTTCTTCAATTTCAAGTATCTTCATAGCGTTCAACCTCCCTACTGGGGCCTTCAGAACCTCTCAGGGAACTATACAAGTTCCCCAGCTGCAAGCTGCTAGGATCTTAATTCTGATGAGGACACCAGAGACCCTTTTCAGAGGACAACCCAACAGGAATCTCTACTGTAGCCATACAGATTATCTACTTAATAGCTACCAGAATCACTTTCCCATAAAGGCCACAGAGAAACTGACTAGAATTTCTACTGGACCTATATAAGTTGCCTGTCTAAAACCTAGTAGGAGGTTCTCTCCCATGGGGACACCAGGGGACTGCTGTGAGGGCATCTCAGTAGGCCTGTGGCTGAATTATGGCTCTAAAATGCATATGGGCAGAAGGAGGATCCTCTTACCCTTCAAAGAGGAGGAAAGCATTCACCTGTAGCATTTTACCCTGAGGGCCCTCATCAAACAGAAGGGCCTGCTGGTAGAGTGGATCAAAATTCTTCTTGACAGTCTTTGTTTTCTTCTTGGCCAAGCAAGCCCCATTTTCCAGCAGATACACTTTAACGTACGTGGCTGTATTGGCAGAGAGAGGGAAATAGAAGCAGGGAGCTTAATAACAGCTATTCCTCCCCAGGCTGGGATGCTTTCAACGTTCTACCAGATGCATCTGTAGAAGTATATTTGTGCATTTATGCGGGCAATGGCAAAGATTCCAACAAAGGAGAATATTTGTAGCTCAGGGTTGAAATGAGGAGTCTCATTTCAACTGGGAGCTACAAGGTTGGTGCTCTCTGAGCTTGGTTGTTTTCTTGCAGATGTTTCATTATTTGACTAGCTAACGTCATAAGTGCTACCCTGTTTCCCCAAAAATAAGACCTCCCCTGATAATAAGCCCAATCGGGCTTTTGAGCGCATGCGCTAAAATAAGCCTCCTCCCGAAAATACGCCTTCCCCAAAAATATTTAAACACAGAGCTGGAAATCAGGTAAGATGGCAAGAGGAGCCCCATCTTGCTCCATACACCCCAAAATAATAAGACCTCCTGGAAAATAAGGCCAAGCGCTTATTTTGGGGCTCAAAAAAATATAAGACAGGGTCTTATTTTTCAGGAAACATGGTAGTTACTGAAGATGTTATATAGTTTGGGTAATAAAATGTCCACAAGGAAACAACCAAACTCAGAGAGCATCAAGGACCCCTCAAGGAATGCTTTCATTCTTGCAATAACATTTTTGGCTGGCAAAACCCTCTACAGGGATGCCTCAATTTATAACGGTCCTTAGCAATCATTCTAAGTTACCACAGACCCAGTTTCAAAATTCTGATGTTGGGCCTCCCTTGCAGTCATGTGACCTCACTTGGGGTGCTTGGCCATTTGCAGCACCCCTTGATCACGTGACTGTAATTTACAATGATTTCACCAGAAATTGGTCTTCTGGTTTCTGGCAAAAAAGATGCCCCGTAATAAACAATAGGCTTGTTTAATGACCACTGCAAGAAAAGGTCATAAAATTGAGCTCGGTAACATGGTGACCCGTTTTATGACTGTCCTGATTTATAATTGTAATTGCTAGATTCAATTACGGTCATATCTCAAGGACTACCTGCATGTGCCAAGAAACTCAAATAAAATTTATTGGATTTAAGAGTAAGTTCTCAGTCCTAGGCCACAGATATTTTATTAATAAAGTATGTGATTAAGTACATTGTAATGCAGTTACCTATTATATTAAATGCCAAGTTAACCCAGATTCAATATGGGGCTTCAACCCAGTTAACAGGATACAGCAGTTAAGTGGGTACACAAAGATACAAACATTTCTGATTTATTGTAGAAAAGCCTGCAAATCATTAGGAAAGGATTTCAGTTACTTCTGTGGGAAGTAAAATGGGAACTCCATTTATATCCAAGAATTCGATTCTGAGGGGCTCAAGGTTGGCTCAGCCTTCCAGCCTTCCAAGGTCAATAAAATGAAGACCCAGATTACTGGAGGCTCTGTAAACCGCTTAGAGGGGGCTGTGAAGCACTGTGAAGCGGTATATAAGTCTAAGTGCTAAGTGGGAAGGAAGGAAGGAAGGAAGGAAGGAAGGAAGGAAGGAAGGAAGGAAGGAAGGAAGGAAGGAAGGAAGGAAGGGACAATAGGCTGACTCTGTAAACCGCTTAGAGGGGGCTGTAAAGCACTGTGAAGCAGTATATAAGTCTAAGGGCTATTGCTCTTGCGATCTTCAAATCTTCAAATTACTCTGCCACTTTCTCCTGCCTGCTCTGTGTAAAGGATTAGAAGTGAGTCTCTTTTGGCAGGGAAGGAATTTTCAATCTACTACTTGTTCTGGGTAGCACCCCATCAAAAGCAGCCAAGCCACCTGCTTTTGACTGGGTTAGCTTCCAAGTATTTAAACAGTTTGAATTTACTTCAAAACATGTTCATTTGCTTAGACCCGTTCTAGGTCAACTGAGTGAACGTACATCTGTGGTTTTTTTTTTTTAAAGACATAAACTAGACGAACGACTTTCCGTAAATACCAAGAATTGTTCCAGGCAGCTTTTCATCTTATCTCTGTTCAGTCTTATCTGGGAAGGAATTACTTACAAGGAAAAGATTTGGCTGTTAGTTTGGGCGTGAGGTCTCGGGCTTCTATCACTTCCACTTCTAGTTGTCCGTTCCGGTCAATCATCGCAACATGGACGTCACCTAAGAAGTAGCAGTAAAGTCAGCATGGTCACAACTCAAGAGCTTTGTGCTGTCCACATGTGATTGTGCAAAATAAAGGGGAGAAAAAAACAGCATAAAAGAAAAAAGTATCCTTTATTTTTTTAGAAGTCCCAAAACATTTGGGGTGCATCCATCTTGATTAATATTATTCCCCTGAGAAAAGGGTCTGTCAAAATTCAGTGGGATTTTTTTGATATAATAAAGAATAGTCTTTTGCCCTTCACACCAATGTCTTGCCCCATTTCCATGTGTGATTGTGGTGTCTTGGCTCATCTTAACGTTTTGTGGTAGATCTATATTAGGAGACCTTTTTAAGTTATGGAAATCATGGAATTCTGATGGAGATGTTACGGTTCTCCAAATATTGCTGAATCGTACCTTTCAGGAAAACCTATAAATTTAATCCATGAATAGAAATAAATAAATAAACTACTAGCCTCGTGATGTGACCAGAACAATCTGGAACTGAACACACTCAAAACCATAGAAATGGTGGTAGACTTTAGGAGAAACTCTCCCATACTACCACCTCTTACAATACTAGACAACATAGTATCAACAGTAGAGACCTTCAAATTTCTAGGTTCTACCATATCTCATAAGCTAAAATGGACACCCAGCATCAAAAACATCATCAAAAAAGCGCAACAAAGAATGTTCTTTCTGCGCCAATTCAGAAAGCTCAAACTGCCCAGGGAGCTGCTGATCCAGTTCTACAGAGGAATTATTGAGTCTGTCATCTGCACCTCTATAACTGTCTGGTTTGGCTCTGCAACCCAACAAGACAGATACAGACTTCAGAGGATGATTAGAACTGCGGAAAAAACAATGGCTACCAACCTGCCTTCCATGGAGGACCTGTATACTGCACGAGTCAAAAAGAGGGCTGGGAAAATATCTACAGACCCCTCGCATCCTGGACGTAAACTGTTTCAACTCCTACCCTCAAAACGATGCTATAGAGCACTGCACTCTAGAACAACTAGACACAAGGACAGTTTTTTCCTGAACGCCATTACTCTGCTAAACAAATAATTCCCTCAACACTGTCAACTACGTCTGCACTACTATTAATCTTCTCATTGTTCCTATCACCCATCTCCTTCCACTTATGACTGTATGACTGTAACCTTGTTGCTGGTATCCTTAAGATTTATATTGACTGTTTCCTAGTATGATTTGATTGCTTATTTATACCCTATGACTATCATTAAGTGTTGTACCTTAGGACTCTTGATGAATGTATCTTTTCTTTTATGTACATTGAGAGTGTATGCACCAAGACAAATTCCTTGTGTGTCCAATCACACTTGGCCAATAAAGGATTCTCAAACTTGGCAGCTGAAGATGTATGGACTTCAACTTCCAGAATTCCCCAGCCAGCTGACATCAGGAATCATGCTTACACTAAAGAAGATTTTACTAAGTAAATCACAATTAGACAGGTTCAAAAAACACTCAGCCATAAACCATGATTTCTAAACTACAGGAGCAAAACACAATTTATGGCCCAGTATATATATGTGCATACTACACAGTCCCTCACAAAACATTAGCCCAGGGAGGCTGTCAATTAAGAAAGATCCCAAAGGAGATCCTCCTCCATCAAGTGACCCTGAACCTCAAAAGGGCTGAGATGGTCCCCAAAGGTTTACTCACCCATTGGTGGAGTAGCCAGTGTTTGTCGCCCTACAATTTGCGCTGGTCCAAGACCATCTAGGAAGTCACTGAACTGGCTTTCAACTCCCAGCTTGGTTGTGGGGAAAATAAATCTGAAGGAAAGGGTGAGAAAGACAGCGTGTGAGAAAAAGAAGACATAGCATGAAAGAACATTCAGAAAAGAGATCCTTCTCCATCTACATTTGGTCCCAGAGCATTTTGTCTTGCCTTCACATGAGACGGGCCAACAAAGTAACTGAAAGACATTTCAGTTTTGGGGTGGCCTTATCTATCAGTTAATATTAGCAGGACATTTTCCTTTTTTAAAAAAAATGGAACACTTGTTTTTATATTCTCTGTGCAGTGTCTACTCTTTATTCAATGATTACATTAATTAGGACTTACGTGCCATCGGAGCTGTTGCTGTTAGTACTTCCATCGGTTGACTCCCGACTGCCTTGACGGGTGACCCTGTTTCTCATCTCCACAGCAATCCCAGTTTCAGTGCTGCGACGAATGTTACTTCGAAGTTTCTTTAAGCCACCATCTGGGGGGGGGGAGGAATCACATAAATAGTGGGTGAGGCAGTCCAGGAGCATCATCTCACAGCCAGGGAAGGATACGACTTGTCCTTCAATCGGGTAAAATCCAGCAGGTTCTGACAGGTTCTGGAGAACTGGTAGCGGAAATTTTGAGTAGTTCAGAGAACCTGCAAATACCACCTCTGGCTGGCCCCAGAGTGGGGTGGGAATGGAGATTTTGCAGTATCCTTCCCCTGAAGTGGGCTAGGAATGGAGATTTTGCAGTATCCTTCTCCTGCCACACCCACCAAGCCACGGCCACAGAACCAGTAATAAAAATATTACTGGGATTCATCCAGTTTGCTCCACTTCGGGAGAACCGGTTGTTAACTTTCTGAGCAGTTTGGCGAACTGGTTGTTGGAAGAAAATCATTAGGGCAGAGAACCGGTTGTTAAATTATTTGAATCCCACCACTGGGGAGATCCATGCTGATGCTGGTTTGTTTCTTTCCTGCCTACCTCTAGCCTTTGGATGGATGCAAAGGCCTCCTGTCTTCTGCATTCTCCAATGAAAATAAGCCCTTTTGAGCGAAGCAGAAATACTGATTTGCCTCCCCTCCTTCTTCTCTCTTTGGAAAGCCATCAGAGATTGAATCTGAACAGTTGCCCTGGGCAGTTACGTCTGCTTTAGGATTAGCATGCACAGACAGCGTTATTGGGTATCTGCAAAGCCCGTGTCCCAGTAGGGGGCAACTCCAGAAGTCTTCTGTCTTCTGTTTGCAAGCAAACAATGAAGCAAGGATGAGTAGTTACTACTACATGTTTTTACCTCTGGGAGGCTGAGCAGATTAGACCCAGAAGGAGAGAAAAGCAAATACTGTGACAGAAACAGTGGCAAGCTGGGGGAATGGCTGCCCCTGGGAGCAGGACGCATAGAAACATCTCACCCCTGGGCTTCCCGAACCCAGGGACCAGTGCTGATGGTCTCTGCAGGCTTCCATATAACCTTTTTTAAAAATGTTTTTGCTCCTGAACTGATGAAATATTTGTATGAAGTTGTTTTTTGTTTGTGATTTATGGTTTGATTTAGTGTTTGGTTTCACTTCAGTGAAATATAAAGACAATAGGTGTATCAGTCAGCCAGGATATATAGAATAAAGATACATACGTGCATCAATGGGATTGATCCGCCCCACTCACTTTGGCAGGAGGGCTTGCTAAAGACCCCGATGGCCAAGAAATTTCAGCTAATGGGGTCTAGGAGAGACCGCATTCTGTGGCCCTCGCCCTCTGGAACACCTTGCATCTGGAGGCGAGATCCGCCTTCACCTTTCTGGCCTTAAAACTTGGCTCTGCTGGCTGGCTAACCCAGATGTCTGCAACCTGCGGCTCCGGAGCCGCATGGGCTCTTTGAGCCCTCTGCTGTGGCTCCGTTGGATGATCCCACCACTGGCTGGCCCCACCCCTCGCCTCCCAGTCATTCCTCGCCTAGCCTGAGAAGATAAGGGCAACGGCGGGGGATGGAGAAGCGGCCAGGTCAGAGACAGAGAGATACAGTGAGAGGGGGAGAGAGAGAGAGACATAGAGAGATAGAGAGAGAGGGGGGGAGAGAGAGGGAGGGAGGGAGGGAAAGAGAGAGAGAGATGTCAAAAGGGTTTTGTGGTTCCTGGTGTTTTTTAACAATCGGTTCTCTGCCCTAATGACCGGCTGGGTAGGTGTGGCTGGGGGGGGGGTCATGTGACTGGTGGAAGTGAGTGATGTCGAGTTGGCCACGCCCACCCAGGTTTTGTGACTCCCGGTGTTTTCTTTTCTGTGGGAAATGGGTCCAAATGGCTCTGAGTGTTTAAGGTTGCAGACCCCTGGGCTAGACATATCTAGTTCCCTCTATCATTCATCATATGATTTAGCCTCCAGATCTATTGAGATGCTAGAAAGAGTACAAACAAAAGCAACAAAGATGATAGATCTTTGTTGCTTTTGCCTGTACCAGTGGTGGGTTGCCCCTGGTTCGGACCAGTTCGCAAGAACCAGTAGTAAAACTGGCGGGAAGCTCTACCCAATGACCCGGATGTCATCATTGGCGATCTGCGCATGCGCAGAAGAGTGTGCGCTCGCGGGCATGATGCGAACCAATAGTAAAGGTAAGTAGAACACACTCCTGGCCTGTACGCTTTCTAGCACAGAAAGTTTCTCAACATTTAGTCAGTCAATTAGTTTCTCAAGATTTAGTCAATCAATCAGCTGGTTGCAAATACATTGGAGGACTTACATTCTAGAACAAAGTGTCAAATGACTACTTTCTGACTATGGTATTTCTGCAAGCCATAGGATCAGCATTGTGATTCACACTACAAGCTCGCCCAGGTTACTTACAACCCTAACAGCTGTATTTGGACAAGATACTAAGTTTGATTAGTTTTAACCTGGGTTAGTGCTTTTTTGTAGTTTAGAATGTTGGCTGAATGGTTACTATTTGGGCTTGGTGTTAATCACAGCAAGATAACAGGTGCTGTCGATTCTGAAGTCCTCCGATTCTAGAAACATTCCAAATTTGTCACTACATGAAGATGCACTCCCCAAATAGAGGCCAGATTTGGAATCTGGTAATCTCCTGGACGTACAGTATATCTCTTGGTAGATGGCCAGGATAGGGGTGAAATCCAGCAGGTTCTGATAGCAGAAATTTTGAGTAGTTCAGAGAACCGGCAAATACCACCTCTGGCTGGTCCCAGAGTGGGATGGGAATGGGGATTTTGCAATATCCTTCCCCCAGGAGTGGGGAGGGAATGGGGATTTTGCAGTATCCTTCCCCTGGAGTGGGGTGGAAATGGTGATTTTGCAGTATCCTTCCCCAGCCACGCCCACTAAGCCACACCACGCCCACCAAGCCACGCCCGCAGAACCAATAGTAAAAAAAAATGAATTTCACCACTGGGCCAGGAAAGCTTTAGTCTGACTTTGGCGAATGTTTGAGGTGTTTCCTGAAACAGGAGGCATTATTTATGTTTATTCGTGTGCTTATCACCTCACAACCAGGCTACTGAAAATCACTCTGCATGGGCTCATCGTGAAGACCATTCAGAAGCTACAGCTGTCTGCACGGTAATAATTCAATCCTGATTTTGCCTCATAACTCACTTCTGAGAGAGTGGCACAGTTTGCCAGCTGGCTTCCAGATGCAATTCAAAATGCATCCTTAGTGCCTTATTATATGACACGAATAGGATCTGGGTATCTGTGAGACCATCTCTTCCACATAAAATCTAACCATCTGAGAAGAGCCAAGAGAAAGACCTTACAGGTGTCTTTCCATCAGGAGTGATGATGACAGAGAGATAAGAGATGAGCCAGTTGTCGTTTTAAGCCCAGAAAGTCATCAATCCAGGAACCAGGTAATGTGGGTTGTATATTACAATCCGTTTATAAGAGATGTTTGAAAAAAGAACTTCATGACACTGTAAAGTGAACAGACTTTGCCATAAAAATAGCAATAGGAGTCAATCATCATTATCATCCTATGTTGCAGGTTGAGGTAAGGTAAAGCACAACTTACTCAGTTTGCATAAGTTGTTGTTAGTTGCGAAGTCGTGTCCAACCCATCATGACCCCATGGACAATGTTCCTCCAGGCCTTCCTGTCTTCTACCATCCTCTGGAGTCCATTTAAGATCATGCCAATTGCTTCAGTGACTCCATCCAGCCACCTCGTTCTCTGTCGTCCCTTTCTTCTTTTGCCCTTCATCGTTCCCAGCATTAGGCTCTTCTCCAGGGAGTCCTTCCTTCTCATTAGGTGGCCAAAGTATTTGAGTTTCATCTTCAGGATCTGGCTTTCTAAAGTGCAGTCAGGGTTGATCTCCTCTAAGACTGACCAGTTTGATCGCCTTGCAGTCCAAGGGACTCGCAGGAGTCTTCTCCAGCACCAGAGTTCAAAGGCCTCAATTCTTTGGCGCTCAGCCTTTCTTATGGTCCAACTTTCACAGCCATACGTTGCAACTGGGAAAACCATCACCTTGACTACACACACTTTTGTTGGGAGGATGATGTCCCTCCTTTTTAGGATGCTGTCTAGATTTGCCATAGCTTTCCTCTTAAGGAGCAAGCATCTTTTAATTTCTTGGCTGCGGGCCCCATCTGTGGTGATCTTGGAGCCCAGGAAAGTAAAATCTGTCACTACCTCCATTTCTTTCCCATCTATTTGCCAGGATTTGCATAAGTAGCAAATTAAAATGCATCCAATGAAAAAAGAGCCACTTCAGAGCTCTGACATAATGTATTTTTGGGAGTATAAGACACACCTTAGTTTTTGGGGAGGAAAATAAGAAAAAAGCTGATTGGCACGTGGATCGGCCTCCCGGAATACCCCCAATCAGCTGTTCTCAGAGGTGAATTTTAGCAACAGGTTCCTTGGTTGTGAGCTCTGTGCCTTGCTTTCTTTTGCTTCTTTTTCTGCTCTGAAACTTCTGAAAAGTTCAGAACTTCAGAAAAGACTTTTTTTTCTGCCTCTGAAAGCCTCCGAAACAGAGCTTCAGAAAAAAAGCCTCTGAAGCTCTGTTTGGGGGCTTCTTTTCTGAAGCTTCATTTCTGATGCTTTTTTCAGCCTCTGAAACCTCCGTTTGAGAAGCTGGGTGGGGCTACATTCGGAGTATAAGACACACCCAGATTTTCACCCTCTTTTTTGGGGGAAAAAGGTGCGTCTTATACTCCAAAAAATACGGTCAATATGACTGCTCCTGATTGCTGTTGTCAGGTTGCTTTATAAAATACAGGATGTGCTGCTGTAAAGGCTGACATTGGCAAAGCCACAATTCTCAAGCCAGACAGAATATTATATAAAAAACGAAACAGGTATCTCTGACTCCCAAGGCCAAGAAAACAACAGCTAAAAGTCTACTGAATAAAGAGTGGGAGAAAGGGGTTAGGATTTGAACCCTGCTGCTTGCATCCACCCAGCCACCGCTTGTATACAGCTTAATTCCTACTTGATATGGGAGACCCATCCAAAGCAACTGATTTATCAGCATTTAGCG